AAAACATACAACCCACATCTTTTGTCAGGGAATGGCTGGCAGGGAGGGAGCAGGTTGTGTGCTGTTTCCTCTCTGTACAGTATTGGCCTTTTCTGTTCTGGATTAAAAGAGGCTGTTGGGGTGGTGCTTGCCAGTTTGGCCTTGAGTGGGCATTCTGGGTGCCCTGGCCATCTAGCTGCCAAACCATCTCAAGCCTTTTTCTCACCTTGCAGCTGGTAGGAGTTATATGCAACTGCCATTGCTGTGGCTTCAAAGCCTGTGAGGAAGTCTGGTTGCTTATCATGCATACTTGTCATGACAAGTGTGGCAAGCAGAACTCTTGAGATCTTAGCATGTCTAGCTCACTAGATGCGTCGGGAGTTGCAGTGGCCAAACAGACCTACTCCAGATGAAAAGTGTAAAATTGAGTGATAGCCAGGTAAATTGCTGTTACATAAGATTATGAATTGGTTCCAACTTCACACTTAAAGAGGTGTTCTTTGCTATAGGAATGGGTATGTGAAGAATCACAATATTTTTTATTCAAGAGCCTCTTCTCCTGAAAAGCTCCTCCAAAGGGCTGGAGCACCTTCCATGTCAGCATAACCAATGAAAAAGAAGAAAGGGGAAATGTAGAGAAATCACCTCCCTGCCTTTTTCTCCAGCAACAGGAGCCTGTGGATTTCATCACATGTCTTAGACAGAAGGAGGCTTTCTCCCATCTTTTGAGTGGACAGTGTGGGTCAACCTGCCATAGTTTCAGGCCCTTAGATGTCATTTTCTCCATTGGCATTCCAAACGATCAAGTTACACTCTAAATGTAACACACAGTTAAAAGTTATCTTACAGATTGAGGATGCTACTAGAAGCAATTAAGCAAAACCAAGTATTTTCTTTGCTTACTCCGCTATTTAAAAACTACAGTATTCATCTTCCCTCAAGTGCTGTGAGTTATATTGTGCCTTTATTGGTGTAACACAATGGGGTTTGTAGGAATGCCTCTTTCCTACATCTTTTTGGTGTGTGACTCTACTCTGCTAACCATTGGCCCACTTCAAAAATGAGCTTGTGAGCAGACTATACCTCATGGGGTTTGGTTTGGTTGGTTTTCCCTTTTGTCTAGCTCTTCGAAAGGCTATCCTTATGAACAGAAAAGGAATGTTAAGCTCAAGGCAGAACTCCTATATACAGTTCTTAAATATATGAACTCTTTTCTAAAAGTTATTAAGTCTTAAAGTTTTAAACTTCTTTATTCTGAAGTAAGACCTTTTGAACATCATGTGATTTATAACACAATGTTAATCATGTTTACTCTTTTTTTAAAAAAGACGAAATGGTTTTGACAGTTAGCAGAGTTTTCAGTGGAATAAGTCTGATAACCAAACTGGCCAGTGTGGTTCTTCACTAGTGTATCTGCAGATCTTAAATTCCCAATAGAATTTAAGGGGGTGGAAGTAGGGAGCCCTGGTTTTGTATGCATACTTTTCAACACCATGGAAATGTGATTGTTTTGAGTGTAGACATCTATGCCGCAAAGAAATTTATTTATTTTAAATGATGATTTCAGTGTTGATTCTGATGCTTGACATGAACATTTTCCTGGCACCACAATTGTAAATGTATATTTACATGAATAAATTGTCATTTGGGCAGAAAATAAAAACACACAGATTGACTTGCCGATGTATGGAACCCGTACATGTTACAGTATGAAGCTAACAGTCCTTTTTCCTTTATACATAATGGAGTGCTAAAATGGATATAATATAACAGAGACAAATACGTCTTGCTGTATTAAGTGGGGATTTCCCCACACATAGCCTAGAATTAATTTCCTGTGTGTCGTCAATAGTATCTATAAGCAGAGCAAGGCAGATAGCAGTCCTGAACTCTGCACTTAGAAACACTCATGCTACACTAAAGCTAAGATCATGTTGATGATCATGATTTGCCATCATCAATTCTGATCTTTTCCAGGATTTTCCAGGTAAAGAGTACTCAGAAGTGGTTTACCATTCCTTTTGTCAGGGGCCACCTTATGACTGTACAACTTGCCCAAGATCATACAGGCTAACTCTACTAGGAGGAGGCACAGTAAGAAATTGGACAGGCAGCCTCTGCAGCCAGATGCCTGTCCTACTGAGCTATGCAGTCAGTTTATAGTCTGGTTTAAATATATTTATTTAGTGAGATCTGTGTCCCAGGTGGCCAAGCAAAATAAAGCTTTAAAAGTTTAACTGGTATGTTCCTCATTCTGCTTGTTAACTCAGAAGCCAGAACCCTGATTTTCACTTGCAAAAAAAGAAGTGACATAATTCACAATACCTTGAAAACTGTTTGTAGGATTACAGAACGTTCTTAAAATCAGGTGAATTCTGACCTTCACATCTTTCAGCACCACTGAAAGTGCTGAAGCAACACTGACATGCAAATCTGCAAGTAAAACGTGCTTTCTTGAAGTGTTCTGCTGTTAGTGTTTGGGCATGTCCTAGAAGTACCCTAGCAACAAAGGATTATTTGGGACTGTATATCAGAAGCTTGTATAGGTAGGATGATACGAAGGCAACAAATTGAGGTTGGGAGTTTGATTGTCCCCTGTGCCGCCTTGTGAGGGGCGGGTCTCAGTGTTCCATGGGGTCCCTTCCAACTAAGATGACTATGTATTCGTGAAGGCTTTCATGGCCAGGATCTAATGGTTGTTGTGGGTTTTTCGGGCTCTTTGGCCGTGTTCCGAAGGTTGTTCTTCCTAACGTTTCGCCAGTCTCTGGTGCTGTCCTCTGAAGATGCCCATGGCCACAGAGACTGGTGAAACATTAGGAAGAACAACCTTCAGAACACGGCCAAAGAGCCCGAAAAACCCACAACAACCATAAGATGACTATGATGCTCAGATTATCTTCAGGTGAAAATCTCTCTTCCTTTCCTTGCCCATTGCATTGTACAAAGAAAAAATAAGGCAACTGTTTGCTCATTTTGCTCCTTTGCATCTGTTCATTAAAACTTTGGGTATAAGCTCTTGAAAGTAGGTGTCTGTGCTGTGTGTGTGTGTGTGTGTGTGTGTGTGTGTGTGTGTGCGCGCGCACGCAGTATGTTATTTGATGGTGTTATATGAATAAATAAGACTGATCACACAGTGCTGATATTTAGCATATGGAATTACAGTATAAATGTTGTTAGTAGAGCTGTTGGGGGTGGGGAGTGAGACGTTCATGTTGAGGTGGTGGTTCTTGGTAACCTGTCTAGCCTTTTCTACTATATAAAAGAGATAATATGGGGGGAATCTTGTTTGGAGGTTTATATTGGCTTGAATGTAATAGCATAAATTGTGGTAGTCAATTGCTGCTGATTATTGAATTGTTGCTTGCATTCCTGACTGCCCAACAGACACACAGCTAGAAATGTGAGTGGCAACTCATGGATTGACAACGATTGAATACCACGATTTATGCAGTTACACTTCCCCTGGTGTAAATCTCTGACAGGATTCTCTCCAGTGCTTTCAAGTGGTAGATTCCACTCCTCTTGCCTTACCTTGGCCAAGGAGTTGAAAGAGTGGAATCAAAGAACAAAAGAGATGAGCTGCAATGTTGATGTTTGGAAAGCAACCCTGGTAAAATCTTACCTGTTAAATACTAAGTATATTTTTTAAGTAAGACCCAGTGTGGTATGTAGTAGATAGAGTAACAGACGAAGACTCTAGAGACAGGGTTCAAATCCCCACTCAGCCATGGAAACTTGCTGGGGGACTGGAACTGGCAAAGCCACTCCTCATCTGACTTGCCTTGAAAGCCCTATTAAGGTCGCTAGAAGTCAATGCTGACTCAACAGCACAGAACAACAACATCTTTAAATATCTCCTTTAGCCTAAACTTAATACGTATAAACACCGCCCGTATAACTTTCCACCTAGCTATGTCGTCTCTTTTAAGACCCAATGTTTAGAATACAAGAACATTAAATGTTTTTTTTTTTTTAATCTGAGTGAGTGTATTGCTTTGTATAAGAGATGATTAACATACAGTCCATGAACTCTATTCAGCCTCCAAGGGCCCAAATGCAGTCCGGGGTATCTCCCCAATATAACAATTTAGTTTGTTTTGTTTGCTCAGAAAGTCTCTTTATACCTTATAGGAGGTGGTGGGGGACAATTTTGCCATGTTTTGAGTCCCCGGTTGTTTGTATTTTTTGTTTTAAATGGGCTACAAGGAGGTGCAAGGCCTTTTTCTTATTATTTATTTATTTATTTATCAATTAATTTATATACCGTCCCATGAATGCCAAGGGAGTATGCTGGGTGATTTACAGGCAAACACCAACACAGACAAACTATGGATTTTAAAATGTAATGGAAATACTGTAACAATGACCTATCATTGGCATAAAAATGCATGACACCAACAAATTTTCACGATAAAGCGGACCAGATGGGAGGCACTCAGTCGGGGTCGGATTGAAAAACCTCCCTGAAGGGTAATGATTTAAGCTGTCTCTTAAACGAATACAGGGAGGAAGCCAGGCATAATTCCTCTGGGAGCTGCTTCTATTGCCTTGGTGCCACCACCGAGAAGGCCCTGCCTCAGGTTGATGACTTTAGGCATCTCTCGGGGTGGCTACCCAGACGAGCCTGACCTGAGAAGCTCTGGTGGGTTGGGTAGATGAAATTGGGGTAAGTCGCTCCACCAGGTAATGTGGTCCCAGCCCATGAAGGGCTTTATACATGAAAAGAACATTTTTTGTCATAGGGGGAATGGTTTCCCAGAAAAATCCCAGATTTTTTAATGATTAAATTTTAAAAAATAGATTTTTTGATGACGTGAATAAAAATAAAATTTTTAAAAAATCATGATTTAAATCAATTTGATTTAAGAAAATAATTGATTTTTTCCCACACTTGATGTGGCCCTGCCAAGATACAGGGATAGGTTTGTGGATGACCCCTGAACCAATAGAGATGCCCACCCACTTTTATATTCTTTTAATTATCCCCTTGTATCACCCGAATGTCTTGATTGTCTCAACAGATTTATGAACCATCCCGCTCCAGCAAACAGTCGGTACAAACCCACTTGTTATGAGCATGCTGCTAACTGTTACACTCACGCGGTAAGTAAATGAATTTACTGGCAGTACAATTGATGGGGCATCCAAATCATTCAAATTCCCATCTGCACTAGATTTTACTAGGCTTTGTTTCATGACTGAGTGCATGCGAGTACTGGGAAGTGTCATGAATGTGGATGAAGCAGCAGAGAGAAGTGCCTGTTCTTGGAGGCCAGCAGAGCCTAATTATACAGTCCTTCCTCCTTCTGACCCATATTGAGGAAGTCAAAAGTTGCTTAAGGCCCTTTGAAAGTAGACTCCCCCCAAACTAATGATTGTTTAAATATCATTCTGCCATTTTGGATTTACTGCCCAAGTGGATTTGACAGTCTTCTTTGAAAAAGATGGCAGCTGTGCTTTCTACTACTGTATATCTTCCATGTTAAATTGGAAGGACTGGCAAATAAGCCTGTGAGAATTATTGTCTCCTAATTTTATTTTATTTTATTTTAATTTTTTGGTGAGACCACAACTCTTGGACAGTAAAACGGACTGCCCACACTTGCCTTATGTGTTGTTAAAGAGGAGAAGCCCCAATTCTTTGTTTCTGAGCTTTATTCTGAGTAAAATATGGATATGATGAGTTTATTATTTTAAAATGTTGCGGATTTTATCTGTCAGAAATAGCTTCCCGAGTCACGTGTAAGCCGGCTTGTCTCCTAACATAGTGTGTTCCCATTGTAAACCCCCATAGGGGGCTGGGCTGTTCTGCACCAGCAGAGTTTTGTAGACAAGCATCAAGGGAAATCTCTCAAACAAATAGAATAATGCATGCCAGCTTTTAAAAAATAAAATAAAATAAAGTCCTAGGGTATTAAAGGATGAATAACTTTTGCCTTCCCTGGCTAATGGATTGATTTTCTGCTACAAAGCCTGATGGCTTACACCATCCACAGTGTTTGTATATTGGATCTGAAAAGGCGCCTGAATAAAATACGTGCTGATCAGCTTATGATTTCCAGTCACCTGTTTATCTTGGACAGTTGCCATGGGCCACGCATGATTGAAGCCCTTCATCAGGTTTTAGAGCGTTTCATAAAATAATTGGTGTATGATGTCAAGTAGCCTGTGGGGACTCAGCAGGCTCGGGAATGCCATACAACAAACACATCTTAACTAAGTTACAAAAATATTTGGGAAGTTTTACTTTGTAACTTAAAATCAATAATGTGTGTGTACATGTGTGCGCATGCATGCACACACACACACACAATGTATGTGAAGCTCTGACAGCACTTGAAAACCTTTTCCAAATACTATTTACCTGCAATTCTTACCACCATGTAGATCAGATTAGTATTATTCCCTATTTTACAGGGAGGCGGGAAAGGTGCAGAGAGAATGACTTGCCGAAGGCTACTTAGTGTGTTAACAGCTGAGGGGAGGTTCAAATTGGCTAGTCAAACCTCCGAACATCCGTGTTGCACCTGTAGTGTGTGTAGGGGTGCATGTGTTTAGTGTGCAGTTGGGGAAAAATGTGCAATTGAAAAAAAAAACTGCAGTTGGAGACTAATAGATGTGCAGTTGCAGAAACTGAGAAAAAAATTAAGCAAGTTTTGCATAGCTATTAAGAACTGAAATGTTAGGCAGTGTCATGGAACTCAGTTTATATTAGGGTGAGGTTTGGTTTGATACTTCAGCATGCCCAGACAATATTAAAATAACTTTTTCCCCCCCAAAACCAACTCTTCTTCATTTCCATCAGTACTTGAAGACCTCAGGCCCTCTATTGGCCGCAGAGTAAAATGGACAAGTTTAAGCCACCATCTTAGTTGTGCGCCTCACAGGCTCTCACCGTGAAGGCTGGAGATAAACGTACTTAATATTCACTACAACAACCATTCAGCCTGAAAATTAATGTTTGGCTTTCTGGTTTGGGGACAGGAGGGGCAGCAAGACATTTGTGCAGTTGGAAAATCTGCTTTAAAAAACAAAACAAAAAACCTTTGCACTAGTCATTACTTTTCCAAACTCCATCTTAATTTGAGGATCTTGCATCTTTCTAAAGCTCAAGCCATGCTGAAAGTGTATAGTAAATAACTGTTCCGTAAGTCAGTAGTTTAGGTATCTGTTTGCTAGAGCCAGAGGTTGGGAGTTCGATTCCCCACTGTGCCTCCTGCAAATAGAGCCAGCCTGTGTGGCCTTGGGCAAGCTGCACAGTCCCAGGATGTGCCCGAGAAGAAAAGGATAAACCCCTGCTCAGTACTCTCTACCGGGAAAACCCAGAAAAGAGGCCCCATAAGTCAGAATTGTCTTGACAAGACATCATCATCATCATCATCATCATCATCATCATCATCATCATCATCATCATCACTGCTGTTAGCCTTGGGAGTTGGATATTGGGCTGACCTATCCCTTAGCTACTCCTTAAATACAATTCATTGTGGAGGGCTTTTGTTTTAAGTGGGGGTATTATTTATACATTTGGGTGTCAGAAGTATTTGCATTACGTCCGCTGTAAGCAGTTTCTACCGTTTTTGCTTGCATGAGGAACTTACAAAAGTGTTAGTTTCAGCATATTTTAATTCCAAATACAGTGAACTGTCTTGACAGTTTGGCACTGCTTTGTGGGGATTTTTTTTTTTATGAGAGTGGAGGTGGGGAAATGATACAGCAGTTCTGTAACCTTCAGCTGAAGGAAATGCTTAAAAGTTTCACTGATCAAGTTGAAAGAAGCTTCCTTTCCTACTTTTCATGATGAAGACAGAAATCTAATCGTACCTGTTACCTGTAATATGCCTCAGCAGCAACTTTGTTTTAATGTCATAAAACAAGAGACACTGAAGTCCTTTGTAATGGCTCCTTTCTGAAGCCTAGGACCAGAGAGAGGAAGGAGTTTGATCTAGGTATCAGGAGCAGAATGATTAAAAAAAATAAAAAAAAAAACAGCTTGGGAGAACGCTTATTCACATGTTCTATTCCTTCCCTAGTTTCTCATTGTTCCAGCCATTGTGGGGAGTGCTCTGCTTCATCGGCTTTCTGATGATCGATGGGAAAAGATAACAGCATGGATGTATGGAGTTGGTCTGTGCGCCCTCTTCATCGTTTCCACGGTGTTTCATATCATTTCATGGAAAAAGAGTCATTTAAGGTACAAAATACACACTGGTCTGGACTTCCTGATGTTGTCCTCTACACTGTGTTTTTAAGTAGGTTGCATTTCCCCTTTTCTCTTGTCAAAAAAAATAACTGCTGGGATTCATTCTTGACTTCATTGTAGGTGCTTCGAGTAATACATGCTCTCAGGCACTGCTTTCTACTCATCACATACACGGGGAGACCAAAGCCCACCTTCACCTCTTGCATCATCTCTCTTAATTCTAGATGAGAAAACCCCACCTCACAGCAGAAACATTCGATTAAATAATTCCTATTCCATCCTTAGACTTGAGAGGCCTTTGGAAGCAACCTTGCCTCCCCCCCCCCCGCCATGTTGGTACTAGTTTAGAGGACTCAAGAAGAACTTGGGACTGGGCCTGCCCTCGGTTCCCTAAAGCATCTTGGAGCTTATCTTTTAAGTCAGCTGCCATTTGAGAAACGAATGCCTCCAGGCACCGCAAGAATCTGAGTCCCCAAGAAGCTGTCCTAGGCCACACTTTTCTTGTTACCTGGGTGCCTCGATTTTTCTGTAGAACACCATGGCTTTTCATTAAAGATCCTAGACACGTATTCATTTACATAGATGCGCACAACTAGACTTGTAGATAAATGTATGTTGGGGGAAAAAAACCACAGAGCTTAAAAAAAACTACTGTATTGAAAATCTTTAGTGACCAGCCTACAAGGCCAAAGGTAAATGTAGTGGCAAACTATGGTACAGCAGCTGTGCCCAGACATGGCACTGAACTAGCAGTGTGTTCTGCTACACATTGTGCAGCAGTGTGTAGCCTGCATAATTAAAATTGTAAGCTGTCAGGAGAGTGCATGGGGGGGTGCATATTAGCAGCACACTTTGCTTTTTGCTTTGCTTTCCCTCAAACTTAGTACTAATACAAGACTAGGCAGTGGGTGGTGGGCTGCATACTTTTAACATATGCATATATAGCAGCGTCTTAACTTTGGATTTATGTCATGGTGCAGTTGCTTGTCTACTGTTCAAGTAAGTCTTAAAATTGTGTGAAGGTCTTGATAATTATTAGGCATGTATTCATTTTTTTGTTTTGTTTTGTTTTCTGATGTCCCCCCCACACACACACACACACACTCCAGTTTTGTTTTGTTTTCTGATGTTCCCCCCCCCACACACTCCAAATCTCAGGATTCTCCATTCTGAGAGTTCTAGCTGCTAGATCCTCATCTACAGACACCTAAATTTTGCTCCCTGGAGATACATAGGCCAGGATGGAAGGGCTCATGCCCTAGGATCAGGCTGCTTCTGGCCTAGCTTCTTGTTAGAAAAGGAAGTCCCAGCAAGAAATGTGGTGACTTCCTTTTCTGAGGAGACACTAGAACAGAACTTGGCCTTTCCTAGGCCGTGAACCCTTCCAGCTGAGCTTTTCTCCAGGTGTGCACAATTTATATAACTTTCGATATGAGTCTGGCAGTTGGAAGCCCATATTCAGGTTTTGTGTAGCTTTTAGAGAAGGATGAGAACACATATTTGGTGGACCCTGAGGTTGCCCACCTGTGTTGTATATATTGCCACTTTAAATTTATTTCTTGAAACAGGTTTAGACTGCTTTTCCAAAGTCCTCAATGCAGCATACAGCAATATAAAACACCAAACTGAAATAAAATACCATTTAGCATACAAAACCTAAAGAAATGCGACAGCATATAAAAATAATAATTTTTGCAAACTACAACAAACTTCGTATCAGTGAAAAGCCATTTGGAATAGATGGTCTGCAACCCTCCATGTTCCCAAGAGCCCAGCTCTTAAAAAGAGGGGGGTCCCTAAATTGTGGGTGTGGAGAGGGAGTATACCCTAAGGCTTCCCTCCCCCCCGAAAAGCACAAAAAAGTGGGGCAAGGGCCCAGACAGCATCAGCTCTGCCATCCCAGAGCCATAATCCACACCTCTCTTCATTTCCTAGTGAATTGTTCATTGTTTGCTTTTCCATTTAGGACAATGGAGCACTGTTTCCATATATGTGACAGAGTGATGATCTATATCTTCATTGCGGCATCATATGCACCGTGGTAAGGATTAAAATGTGTGCTTTCCAGTAGGTAAAAAATGGCAGTGGCGTATTCCCATCACAGCTTTCCACTTGATGGATTGGTTGACCTAATGTGCTAGGGTTAGAAGCAGTATCGTGAAATCCTTTTTCCATTTCATAAATTGAGTCTTTTTTTTTTTCTGTCTTTGCATTTTCAACACAGTTGCTCTGACCCAGCAAGGGCAACGTGCATCCCGCAGCAGGCTTCTGCATACCCATCCTGTTTTCTGGGTCAGTGTGCATGCAAAACTGTGGGCTGTGTGCATCCATCTGGATGGTGTCCAGGGCATTTCATATATGAAATATATGATATATGATAAACCTGTAAGTCATGTTAGATATTTGAAGACAAATAAACAACATTATATAATCATGTATTGCTTGCTAGCAGGAGCCATTTTTAAAAGCAATTGCAATCAAATGTAAAAGTAAAAAATGAGGTATGAATCTATGCAGACTCTGGTATTTTGATTTTACTGAATTGATTTCATCTTCATAGAGGAAAATAATAAATAGATCTTAAATCCTGAGCTTCGAAAATCTAATAGCAGATTTATTTTCTGCTATTAGATTTTCTATCTTTGCCTTTCTCTCTCCAGTGCCCAACTAGCTTTCTTGAGAGAATTGTAATCATTTTGTGGTATCTGTGAAAAGAATATTGTAATATCACCGACATGTTGTCATCTTTAGAAGTCACTTTAATGCTTTTTAGGTTAAATCTTCGTGAACTTGGACCTCTGGCATCCCATATGCGTTGGTTTATCTGGCTGATGGCTGCAGGAGGAGCCACTTACGTATTTCTCTACCATGAAAAGTAAGAATAAGAAAAATAATGTTTTTGTCCTTATATTGGATTGTATTCTCCTGTTGATTAACTTTGCCACTATAATGTAACTATATAATATAACATTAGCATAGAGTCTTTAGATACAGACTCTATGCTAATGTAAAAATGTACCGTGGCTTAGGAATGGAGAGTAGATGAAGAGATGATAGGATGAGCAACACGTGGTCCTCCTGCTGAAGTTGTACTGAAGGTCCAGTAGCTGTTTTTGGCTACAGCTGATATAGGCTGCAGACCAGCAACATCTAGAGGGCTTTTTAATCCCTGATTTAGACTGAGGCTCAGATATAAAATGCAGGAGTGTTCTGGATCTTGCAGGTGAATTTAGGGAACAGATCTGGGGGGGGGGGAGAAGACAGAGATCCATGGCCTTATCCCAATTTCTGAACCATGGTTATTAGCACAGAATACCTAATGTGTTTATTTGCTTAAGAACTTAGAATTCTTAAGCAATGCACAAAACCAGAAGGTTGCCAAACTCATCCTGACTTGGGAAGAAACATTTTATATTTAGTGATGTGTCTTCTCCTTAACTAATTGTTACAGATAGTTACTGTAATGCCATGAAAACAGAAACAGTGGCTTTTTCTGACTAGAAGCCAACTTTAAAATATTCACTTCTTCCTGTTGAGAAAAGCAGTCTTTGGCTCAGCTATTAAATTAGCTTTTCTAAACTGCCTCTCAGCATATCAACACTAGGCCTATAATGAGTGCATAGCAAATGACTGTGTCTCACTTTTCAGATTCCCTTTTGATAAATAATTCAAGTTGCATTTTGTACGAGTGGGTGAGGAGGGCCTGGATTTCTGTCAAGCAAATAGAATTTGGGGAGTGTAGTCTGTCTTGGATTCCAGTGAGTGGAGCCAGCCTGCACTCTTCCGGTATTTAACATTTATCCTTTCTATCGAGATCAATGTCTTTAAAAATTCTAGTCATAACAGCAGGAGGGAAGCAGATTCTTTAATTAAAGTATGTGGTCCCTTCCTTGCCACCCAGACAAAATACTTTCTATGTGTCCTTATGCTTTCTTTCTTTCTTCTTCTGGTCTGTAGAAAAGAGACATCTACTTTGTTAACTTATGGTTAGGTTTGTTTGCTTTTTTATATATGGGTATGTTCGAAAGCCCTCCCTTTGAATGGCTATGAGATATTGCACTTTCTCCAACTGCTCATAATGGAAAGGCTGATCAGCAGGAACCCTTCTCATTTTAGGGAAGTCCAATGCAGACGTAAAAATAAGGCACCTATGAATGTTTCTTTTAAAACACCTGCTTATGAAGAAACTGGAATTATGGGGAAGGTAGACATGTTAGACCATTACAGCAAACAAGATGGTGTGACACTTAAAAATTAAAACATTTTATTTGATGTAATTATGTATCTAATGAAGTGGGATACAGTTCACACAAGCGTATCTATCCCAAATAAAACTTACTAGCTGTGCGTGAAGATAATGTTTCCTGTAGGATTCTCATACACTTTTCATTTTTGTAGGTATAAAATTGTAGAGCTTTTCTTCTATCTAGCAATGGGCTTTTCTCCTGCACTAGTCGTGACTTCCATGGTAAGAAACGCTTGATTGCTAGAGAACAGTTTCTATTATTAATAAAATGTTTTTTTAAACCATAATTGTTATATGTGTTAATATCCTTGGTACTGAAAAGAGTATTTGCATTTCCTCAGCTGCTTGTTGATTTTTTTTCCACACCTGAGAATAATCTTAAGTGCTCTCTTGAGAAGCAGGCGCCATCTTAAAGCATTCTGTTTAACAAGGCATAGTTATTACCTAGCCCTCAAGGGGTTTTAGATCTAAGTATGTCCTATAGATATCTATACTTTAGATGAATCTTATACTTTTAATGATGATAGATAAGCAGTGTTTGCCCACATGTGCAAGCGGAATTCATGTTGTTAAAAAGAATATACACGTACAAAAGGTCTGAGTACAGCATGTTAGTTTACCACTGATGGAAACTGAAAGGTCGTAGATGGGAGACAAAGTACACCTTTATTGTTTTGGACCAGCAGCTTGCATTCAAAACCATGTTAAAACAAAGCTTTTCTATCCAGCCAACATGGCTAGTGATTACAGGGAGATCAATCTTCCTGGCCTCTGAGAATGTAAGGAGGTGAGAAGGTATAGGGCTGAAATATACAAGTTTCCCCAAGGGTGCAAGTTTCTTTAGAAAAAAAAGCAGTGGCAGGGAGTTAATAGAGCAGGCTGTATCTCTCACTCCAGGCAGAACACTTTTAAACCAAAAAAAGAGAGAGGTGTCTTTTAACCTTGTTTTCACTCCAAAGAAGTGAATGAGGATTGCTAGGAAGTGGTGATTTACTGGTGCTGCTTCAACAGCTTCCCAGCTCCAATGCTCACCAACCCTCCGTGGCTTGTTCCTTTTTCCACTTAGAAATGCTCTTACTGGAGAGAAACAGCAATTCAGAACAGGGTAAAAATTAGCACCTCTCTCTCTCTCAGTGCCAACCAGCACTCCGGAAATGGCTTTTCTGGTTTCAAACATCCTTTTTGACAGATTTTTATAATATTTAGTTTAACCCTTGTGGTGATTCACAAAGGTATTTGGGTTATGATCCTGGATACTTGAGGTGACTGTGGTAGGAACAGGACTTAACAGAAGTAATGAGACCCTGAAAAGAATGTGAAATTTTTAATGCTCCTGTGAAAAAGAAATGTCTCTTGCATCATTTAGAAGATATTAAAGTTGGACAGCTGACCTAGGTTTCCAGAGGTGCAACATGTGAAAGGAAGACCTTTGGCAAATTTGTTGTGTTACTCATGTTATCATGCAATTGCTGCTTGAATGCTTTCAGACAAAGTAATACATGAATCTGGGGGGGAAAAGGCAGCTCGGTTTTAGTAAAGTAAGATGTAACACAATGAAGCTTTGTGGTTCTTTGTTCAACATGGGTTTTGTAATTAAGAAACAAGATGGAACCTCTCTGGCTCATTTCTTAATTACAAAACCCATATGCCTTAAAAGATTTTAACTCAAAAACCCATCTCATCACAACCAGATGTTAGAACAAAACTCATAAGTGCTTCCTTGTCCTTTGGCCAGTGCTTTCTCACTAGCTTTTAAGCAGTCCTTTCTTATAATGTTAACAAACCTCTTTTGGTTGGCCAGGTCCTCAAAAGTAAAATCAATTAATTTTGCCCCTGCACGTTCATTCAGTTAAATGTCCATTAGACTGTGGCACAAGATTTTTGTTGGACTGACACAGAGGCTCCTCCACATTGAGATATAATCCCAGGAAAGACAAGAACAATGTTTTTTAGTAAATGTGTTGGAGGAACCTGACATTGAATCTCTCCAGGAAAGGACGTAAGCAAAATCTAAATGAAACAGAACATGCCCATCAACAGAACCGCAAATGAAATATAATAGAAGTAAATGTCAAGAGATCCAACACTGGGGCAATAAATCTTAAACTTCCCATAAACAGATATGGGTTCTGATTTGGCTGTGATTCTTTGGAATATATTTTGGGGGTTGTGGCTTCTAGTTTGGGGGGAGGAGTCAGTTCAATATATGTATCAGGAGTGAAAAAGCCTAGTTTTTTTGTCTGTTGTGATTAGCAAGGAAGTTAAAACAGCCACTATTGTGCTACCTCTGCATAATGTTAGCTGTGTTTAGAATGGTGTGTACTGTTGAGTTAATACTTTTATTAGGATAATCAACACAGTGCAAAGAACTGTGCAGACTTTCAAGATTAACAGGTCTCTCCTTCTGTCAAAATGTTATTGATGTATGGAGGGAGGAGAGAGGTTTAGTCTTAAAGGCAACATAATCTGCATGGTCTCTTGAGAGGTTGAAGGAAGGCTCTCTTCATCTTCAAGGAGAGCTTAGCAAGTGATGCAGCAGGGTTTACATTTCATCCATGGTAGCCCGTAGACTTTCTGGGAGCAGGAAAGATTAAAAAAAAAAAGAATGGCTCTTTGTCTTAGAGAATGTAAGAATGTCGTTATTAGCTTGTATTATGTGTTATTCAGCTAGTCTGTGCCTGAACCTTTGGTCCCAAGAAGACAGGTCTTCCCTTAAACTTTTGACCATCCTTCAATGTTCAACTATTTCTCAGAAATCAAACATTGTGTGTTTTCTGTTTCTCTACAGAGTAACACTGACGGACTACAAGAGGTTGCCTGGGGAGGTCTGATTTATTGCATGGGGGTGATCTTCTTCAAGTGTGATGGAGTGATCCCGTTTGCCCATGCCATCTGGCATCTGTTCGTCGCTACTGCGGCGGCAGTTCATTATTATGCTATCTGGAAGTATCTTTACAGGAGCCCTGCAGATATCATCCGTCATTTATGATATTAAACACAAATACGCACGCACAGCATGCGCGCAGACACACACACACTTCTGCAGGCTACTCTGTGCCTCCGACTCAGTATTACTTGGGTAATAGAAATTCTGAGGAAGTGGGTCAAAATATTGCACGGGGACCGGGGGGGGGGTAAATGCACTGACTCTGATTTCTGAACACATTTACTGTGAACTGGAGTGATAAAAATGTTTCCTAGAATCACTGTTTATCTGTCAAGTGCTGGGCACATTAGTTCTCTGAAACTTTTCCTTGGGTAGCCCCTATTGGAATGAATAGGAATCAGGCCAAGAGAAGATGATGCATCTCCTATTCATTTCAGTGTGGCTTGCACACAGGTAATTCCGTTTGTTATTGCATCCACCATCATTATCAGGGGGCTACTATCCAGCACACATATTGGGAGGAGACATTTTGGTTGAAAACATCATGCTGCATTATAAATAGTCTATTCCACATTTACAGGGAAAACAGCATAAAAATGTTTGGTGGCCTGATGTTTACAAATCCTTTGTGTCTGGTTGTGTGTTTTTTTAAAATGTATTTAATGGATTTAATTTCTGCAATGTTACATTTCTGCATTTTAAATGACAGCTTTAAATTGTAGCAGTTAATGCATTAGCAAAGACCCAGTTCCCCTTTCTTGGGGGGTGGGGGTGGGGGGAAAGGTTGCTTTCTACCACTTTTTCGGGAACTATTTGATAACACAGAAGACACAGATAGATAGGTTTTATCTCTCCCCCACGAATCAATTGTACTAATGTAACTTTTTATATTTTAAAAGGAACTTTTTAAACAGAACTTTAGAAATGCACACAGCCTACATTTCTGCTGTTTTACCTACAATGAAACTGCAAGTTACATTCCAGATTCTGTCCTGATACTGTACTATACCTCAATTAAAAGCTTTTATTAAAAGGCTGTGATTGATAATTAGGAATTCCAAAATTGGCTTTGCTGAGTCTTAACTTGCTACCCTTTGTGGTAAACTGAACTGTCTAATTTGGGGTTGTTTTTTTTTTAAGCATACCAATAGTTCTATCTGACACATGGAATTCATCATGCTATGCCATTTCTAGAGGCAGATGTGTTGCATACCCAAGAAGGCTCTCCAGAAATGGTGGCTCTAGTCCTTCATGTGGCCAGCAGCTAAGAACTGAAAAAAATAATCTGAATTACTCTCAAGCAACAGTAATGTTGTAGGTGTGTTAAGACATTTTGGTGCTTAAATGACGCTTACAGTGCAATCCTATGCACAGTGAGAAATAAGTCTCACGATGTTCATTCAGACTTACTCGAGTGCATCTCTAGAATGTTCAAGACAGCTAGTTTAGGCCACTAATTCTTGTTGGGTGTAAATCGGTGACATCTATCTTTTTTTTTAAAAAAAACAAACACTTTATCCTAATACTTGCTGATAAGTTTTGAGTATTAATAGTTTAATTAATTCATCCTGCACCCAAATGGCCTTTTCAGGGAGGGAAGCTTGCTAGGTCTCGTCAGTCTGGGACATAAAGTAGGGAAACTGGGCATCTGGGACAATGAAATTTGGTAGCAATTTTACAGTAGAAAACATGCATCAAATGTTAGACTCTTTTTTGTAATGATCGGTGTCCGGTTACTGTAGTGTGTCCCACTGTACTATGAATGTCTTATATTAAGATTGAATTTATTCTTTTTTCTAACTTGCTGTTTTTCATATCAGTGTTTTAAACAAAAGAAATCAAACACGTTGCCTTTTTCAGATATTACTCTGGATATTTTGCCTGTCAAAACAGTAGATCTGTACTATAGAAATGATGTTGGGGGCAAGAGGTTTTCCCTTGAGGTGATGTATAATCTCCACTCAACTTGTTAAGTGGTTTTGTTTATATTTTAGAATGAGGTGCATTTGTATACAATTTTGCAGGATGCGGCAAATGCTTGTGTTAAAATAACTTGGTTTCCATGTAGTATTAGCTGATGACTTGCACAGTTGTTGTCCCACTCCAGAGACACATCTGAGCTCTTCAGGGCACCAAGATATACATTAGTGTTCTGAAGAAGCAGTAGTTACTCCACTGGAGTCAGTATGGCACATATTCTGCATTCACACTATCGCACAGAATGGAGGGGTTCACAAAGTTCTAAGCAGAGCACTGGAAGACCTTGGTGGGGCTAGAACAGATTTCTTTGAGTTAGTGTGCAAATAAAACATCAGAATAGAAGATATTTACTGTGACAGTCCTGGAACTTCTGAATGCTGTCTGTTGTCTTTGTTGTCTCCCCTTTAAAAAAAAAAAACCTAATGTGATCGTCTTTGAATATATTCACTTTTTGTGCATTCTTGTATTCAAGTACAGTATTGTTCTGACCACTAAAATATATGTAAAGCTTTCCACATTTGTCAAAACTTGCTCCAATTAATTCTGCTACTTTTGTGGGAATTACTCTTTTTACTGTGTTGGTTTTTAAGGGTGAAAGCATTTTGTTTTGGGTTTTTTAAAAACAACGATAACTAAACTCGCCAAATATATTTTTGTTTCTGTCTTGTCCCCAAAGGTATAAATGTACTAGAGTAATGCAAATAAACATTTTGTGCAATTTGGAGTCATGTTAATGAATTTTGTGCTTGTTAGTTTGAAGAGGACTCACCGCTGTTCCTTCATCATGGATAAGACACAGCAATCAAGACTGTGGCCATAATCCAGACTAGCCATGAATCTTGTTTCATGCACTCAGTATCATTTCATTTCTGTGATGTAATGTAGATGTGTGGGTGCTTGCTGTTAAATTGACTTTGTGCAGCCATAGTGGGACTCAAACAGATTCTTAAAGTCCGTTAGACCAGTGGTTCTTAACCTTTGTTACTCGGATGTTTTTGAGCTGCAACTCCCAGAAACCCCAGCCAGCATAGTTGGTGGTGAAGGCTTCTGAGAGTTGCAGTCCAAAACTCCTGAGTAACCCAAGGTTAAGAACCAATGCGTTAGATCACAGCCTGTATCTACAGTCCAAAAGAGAGGAGATATGATACTTAACTTGACAGTTCTGATATTTTACCTTGTGGCGTTCACCCTCGTGCCCCCTTGCTTGACTGTCAAACTCTGAGCACACGAAGGCAAACAATCCCCTCCAGCCTGTATCTACAGTCCAAAAGAGAGGAAATATGATACTTAACTTGACAGTTCTGATATTTTACCTTGTGGCATTCACCCTCGTGCCCCCTTGCTTGACAAACTCTGAGCACACGAAGGCAAACAATCCCCTCTTTTACACTACTGCCACCAGGTGATCACTAAATCACCATTACTTCAGGAAGATGAAGAGTCAAGTCCACACTTCAAAGTCTTTTAAATATAACTTTTGTTTATTGATTACAGAAATTGATAGTGATTAACAACAATCTTCTGTTTGATAATACACTCCCAACATGGTGCTGCGAGTTAAACTGCAGAAGCCTCTGTGCTGTAAGGTCTGTAGATCTTCAGCTGTAAGATCGCATCCACGTGACAGAGTGAGCACCCGTCATTTGTCCCAGCTCCCGCTAACCTAGTGGTTCGAAAGCATGCAAATGCGAGTAGATAAATAGGGACCACCTCAGTGGGAAGGTAACAGCGTTCCGTGTCTAAGTCACACTGGCCATGAGACCATGGAAGATTGTCTTCAGACAAAATGCTGGCTCTATGGCTTGGAAACGAGGATGAGCACCGCCCCCTAGAGTCAAACACAACTGGAAAAAATTGTCAAGGGGAACCTTTACCTTTAACTCTAATCACTTCTCAGATTTCCCCAAACTCCACACTCTATCTCCTTCTCCACTCTCTCATGCTACGCATCTCTGACTCGCTCCCTCTCAGGCTCCGCCTCTTATAACATCTCTCTTGGCTCCGCCTTTCAGCAACATGAATATGCATGAACAATTAACATAACCAAACATGAACTATTGACATCATAAAGGGGAACACTACAGACCCCTCCCCTTAAATATGTTTGTTTGGGAGGGGAAACACGGTTTTCTTCCTAAACAAACAGGGACAGTTGTATAACTTACGTAACATTTATCACAGTTCTATAGGTCATATCACATTCAGTATAACAATTACCATTCCTATTACTCTAAACATTTTACTACTATTCAATAATATACTTTACCTTATCATTTACATGTAACCTTTTCAACCATACAAAAATCACAATCATGAAACTTTTACATAAATAAACTGTGAATCATAGTCCATTTCAGTTTATAATAAAAAGTCCTTGAATCGTTCTGCACATTTCTGTCCATCAGTTCAATTTTTCATCACATTTACAAACAGAACATTTATAATACAATATCAGCTTGGGTTATCCACCCCCATCAGTCATTGGGCTTTCGAGGCACGATCTGAGTCTCTGTTGCAAAGGCAAAATTTGCAAACTCCAAGTCTCTCCCTTTACTGTAGTAGTCTGGCACACTGTGGACTGGTCCGGATGTTGTCATCTCCTTCAGCTGGACACACCTCTGCTGGCACTCAGGAGTCCCTCTGTCAACCACTGGCTCCTTCCTCCACAATCTTTTCCATCGACTGGTGGTCATTTGACCACAGGATGTCGTCTGCTGGTCGTTTTATAGTGACGTCAGCTTTAAGTCTGACTTGGGGCTTCACTTGCTCAGCTAGGAAAAGTGTAGCCAGTTCCCTCTTCTCCTCCCGAACATCTTTAGGTGCATCCGTCTTTAAGGCATCAGGGCTTACATCTTCCTCCTCACTCACACATTCACTCAAAGGTATTTTTATTACAATGTTTTCCCTATGTGGGGGACCACTATCATGGGTCACTTTAAGACTCAGGTGAGAGTCGTTTAAGTGCAGTCTTAAACGATTGGTTTGTTTTAGATGCACTGAGTGTGTTATCTGATTCTATCCATTCATAGATAAGCTAGGTAGGGGTTTGTCTTGCAAGGTCTTAAGGTCTGCTTGTTCCTCCCTTGGCAAAAGCAATTCTCTCCCCTCTATAGTTCTCAGTTCTACTACTTGGTCCTCAGGACAGAATACTCTTTCCTGGGTCTCATTCAAGCCTTTCTCTTTTTCAGGAGTACTTCCAAAGTTTGACTCTGCCACTTCTAAGGACCTTTTCCCTATATAACAGCTCCTTATCCAGGCAAGACCTTTGAGGGCATTCAGGAGATAATAAAGTGGGTGTACTGGTGACTGTTTCAAAGCAACTCACCAAGCTAAAGTCTTCCTTCTGCTCCTGGGCAAATTTATTTTTATTGGGCTTCAGTAGTGTGTGCTCAGCTTCAGCACCACTATTAAGCTGGGTATCCAAGGAAACCTCTCTCTCCAGGCCTTCCCCTGCTACTGTATCCAATTCTGCTGCAGTGGGTGATGTTTGGCCCTACTTTGAGTGTGTAAGCACAAAAACACTCTTGACATGCTCTATTAAGTCCCAACCGATTAGAAAAGCAGCTGGTATTTCATCTGAAACTGCCCCCTGCCACTTTCCAGACCAGTTCCCATAGTTTATATGAACCACTGCCACTTTCAGCACTACAGATTCTTTCCCAATTCCTTTTAAGGTCATACTTCTTCCTGGGATTATGTCATCCTGGGCTATCAAATCAGAATGTACTATAGAAATTTGAGATCCTATGTCCCTTATATAGCAATGTATTTCTTTCCTCCCACTAATATCTCTTCACCAGCATTTTTGAGAGGGGTATTATCATTTTTTATATAAAAACACTGGACTATAGGAGCTACAGGAATGTCTCCTTGCTCAGTTGCTGTGGTTGCCATGGAGACAGAACCTTGGCCATGGTTTCCCTCAGAGGCCTCTACAATTCCCACGCAGTATACAGTGGTGCCTCGCATAGCAACATTAATCGGTGCAGCAAAAATCGCTGCTAAGCAATTTCGTCGCTATGTGATTTTAAAAAGCCCATAGAAACACATTAAAACCTGTTTAATGCATTCCTGTGGGCAAAAAACTGACCTTAAAGTGAAGATCCTCCATACGGCGGCCATTTTCGCTGCCTCTTAAGCGAGGAATCCGTCCCTAAACACAGTGGGCGGCCATTTTTTTAACCCGGTGGCCATTTTGGAACCACCAATCAGCTGTTAAAAAATCATCGCTTTGCGATGATCAGTAAGCGAAACAGGGAACCGATCATCGCAAAGTGAAAAAAACCCATTTTGAATTGTAAATGACTAGGCTCGCTGCATTTGCAGCATCCGTAATTCCTTCTCTCATCCTGAGGAGATCCATTAAACTTTTCCTCAAGATTCATTTGGTTCTGAGAACTAAGCCACGCGAATTCAGCTGAGGCACCACCGTGGCTTTCATTTCCTGTTGTTTTGCTGAGGTAATTTTAATTAAAGGGCTTCTTATTGTCGTCCCAATTCTGCTTGTTAAAATTTACCTCAGATTTCATTTGGGTCTGAGAACTAGGCCGTGCTAATCTTTTCATTTCTAATTGAAATTTCATTTGTTTTAACTCCAACTCCATTTGTCTTTTTTCCTGCTCAAATGCCATTTGTCTGGCCTCTTGCTCAGCTTTTCCTTTCCTTTCTAATTTCATCGTTCTTACTTTGATCGCTAATTATTTCAATTTAAATTCCTGTTGTGATTTTCACTTTAGAAAATCTTTAAAGCTTATGATACTTGGTCTTTCAGAGGCATTTTCCTCAGTCTCAAACTGTTCTCCTGGAGTTAAAGGGTCTCAATTTCCTCCCATTTCCTGAGGTACCAAACTTTGTGCCTCTTGAGACTCAGTTTCCACTATTATTGGTCTTTTAGTTCCTTTGGGAGGCATATTTATCTGAGTTACTTATTCTAGAGTGTGTTTCTACTGATTTTATAATGGACCTATCCTTCTTTTACTTCCAGTCACTGAAATGATTTCTATTTCAAGCCTTGGCTTTTTCTTCTATTTCCTCAGATCTGCTCTGACCCTTGGCTTCTGCTTTTTCACAAGTGCTCTCTAAACTCTTAGAGCCTCTCAGCAACATGAATGTGCATGAACAATTAGCATAACCAAACATGAACCATTGACATCATAAAGGGAAACACTACATACCTCTTACTAGAATAATGTCCCTTTATCTTGAAATTACAGTTGTCTCCATGGAGACAGTTGTGGCTAAGATGCTGGTTTCAAGCAACTCTCAATGCTTTACTTGATGCAGCACCAAATCATTATTCAGATCTGTGGCACTGAAATGATGCCCATTGTCTAGGAGGAAAGTAACAAGAAAAACTAATGCTTTGGTCCTTCTGAAGAATGTAGCCTCTATTACAGTGCTTTCCAGAAGGCGGGAACAGTGAACCACTTTGGAGTACTCTCTGCCTAGAAAACCCCAAAAAGGGTAGGGGTTCACTTGACAGCACATTCTTCTTATTATTATTACACACCCCAGTGTTTTCTGCCTATAGCTCCATTCAGCTAGATTCAGCATAGCCAACTGTAATAGCTTCTAGAAGCTGCTGTGGAGAAATATTAGGAGAGCCACTGTTAACTTCAGGTTTGTTTGTTTGCTGCTGCTGCTGCTTCTAAATTGTGGGAATAGCCAAGGAACTGTGGCAATTCTATGAATGTCATGAACAGATGGCCTAACTGGAGG